GACAGCTCACCGCGGTTCCCGAACGGGTTCGAATTCTGTCTTTCTCTCGACTCAATTCCGTCGATAATTTGAGAAAGCCGAGGATTCCGAAATTCGGACGAGACCCGAGGCGCATGAGCCCCGCGTGGCATCGATTCTCGCTTTAACGAGCCGGAAAATGCGGATGATGCTCCTCGTCCTCCGCGAGAGACATCTAGTGCGGCCAGATTCAAGATCTCGAGTGCACGGGAATCCACTGCAAAGCTATTTATACGACTGGTACTGGTACTGGGAATCCTGGAACTGGTACCGATGTGTTTTTTAGACGCCGTCATTCTGGTATGAGGCACAGTAGCCTCGTGCATTTAAATCCGGCTTTTCCGATAACCACCCACTGAGATGCTAATGAGGATAAATGCGCCAGGGCTACATTTAAAGAATGGGGGGAGGGGGGGGCAGGTGGGGCAGGTGGGGGGCCTAAGAGAGAGAACCTGTCCTCGTGAAAGGAATCGCAGACACTGAGAAAAGCGTGAAGGCCTGATTTAATGAGCCCATGGTGATCGAGATTCCAGAGTGGTGTAGTATTGAAGTATCACGAGCCAAGACCTACCTCATCAATGACTCGTCTGACAAAGTGAGGTTGGGTGATCTACTTCTCGGGAAAGTTTCTCGATCCGACGAGGGTGCCATGTGCCGGGGAACCGGGCACGTCGGCTTTGACCCCGGTACCCGATGGCTTCGCCGACTATGGCTACTTGCATCGCTTCACGTGTCTGCGATTTCTATCTGACGCTCGAAATGGTCCTCGAATGTCGGAGGGGACGTACTGCGGCACCCTTGGGATGGATCGGACCTGATGAGTGATGACACCCGTCGCAGGCGATCCATCATCTCATGACCGACTAGTACTGGAGCTCTCTCCAAGACCGGTACCTCCTGGCACGTATGTCGTTAGCCTCCAAGCACGCACCAGTGATGGGAACTCGAGTCGTTCTCGTCGTCCCCTCCCCCTCCCCCGCCCCCCTCCTACTCGGGTGAGGGGTAGAAAAATCTTCCAGTTCGCCTCGGGCGGTCCAGCGGTGTAAGGCCTACCGGTTCTACGGGTATCGTATCTGTTTTCGTTTTTCTACGTCTTTGCTAGCTGCGTTTCTGTCGCGACGCTGTTGACAACTTTCCTCGTCCCTTTAACTCGTTTGCATTCGGTGACTTTTCCCTTTAACAGCCCTTTAAATCCTGCTGGTTCTAGCGAAACGATGTTTATGCACTTTGCGACGCAAAAAAATTCGAAGAACGGGTCAGGCTAGTCTAACATACCTGACATCAAATTCTTCAGAAAACTCTCTGGTACACTCATGATCATGCTCATTAATCCCAAGTAGTTTTTCATGGTTTGGTACGCCTTTAAATATTCCACCCACAAGTTTCAAATGCGTATCACTACGATGATCATCTACGTGACCAGGATCGCAAGCGCGTACCAGTTCCCCTTTATATGCGAATGGGTTAATGAATCACATCCTCATTTTGAGCCACTTTCTGCTGCGAGTGTTTTCTGCTGTTAGCCAACAGATAATTGGTGAAGAAACCGTTCGAGGTGTTGAAGAGGAAAATGAAATATTTTTTAGTGCCTTGCTTTATCCCACTGCTTCCTTAAGAGTAAAACCTTTTTTTCTTTTTAAGAGAGCACCCCAGCCCTAAACCAATGAACGTGGAAATGCGTTCAGTGATCGGAGGTCACTTCCTTCAAATTAGCGGAGAAACCGTTACGTTCGGATCCGATTCACGTCTACAGTTGGCCCTTTTTAGGCACGTGTTGAATCAGCACATCCATTCAAGACATCAAGGCTCTTTCAAATAATTTATTTTCGAATTTTCGGTCTTCCCTCAGAGTAGGAATGATGAAATAAACAATGCATTGAACAGAAACAGAGGATACTTTCTTCCGCGTTTGTCGCGTGTTCAAATATTTACGCGTGCATCTCATCTCATTTCTCGTGAGATTTCGTTGACGTCATGCATGATATTGCGGGATCGATTTGCTTGCCTTCCGCGTTGCGGAAAAGATCCAGCGAAACGTCCCCAACTTGGATTACAGCAAAATGGCGGACCCGAGGGAACGAGTAGAGGCTTGCACGTGCGTGTTTATGGTCGTCGAGCGGAGAGAAGCCGACCCGCAGAGGCCTCTAAGGACGAATTCACCGCAATCTTCAGTAAGTACACTTCAAAACCTGAATTAACCCGATGAATAATGCACATGCTTTCGATTGAGATCCTCCTTTTCCCCGTTTTTGCGTTAATGGGGACGGGAGAATGGAAGAGGGAGGGTTGGGGGGGGGGGGGGGGGGGGGGG